AGCAGGACACTGAAACTGAAAAAGGCTAAGCTACTTGTCCCAAGTTCAGACATGAAGAGATAGGGCTGGAATCCACATAGGGCGGGGGTGGGGGAGCCCGCTCCGGCGGAACCGGAGAGCTGATCGGGGCGCAGCAGCGACCCCGGAACAATAACACGTTGAATCCGGCGACCCGTCTGCCTGGTCGCCCCGGCCGGGGTTGGGGTGGGGCCGGAGCTGGGGGTGTTTGCAGGGGCCGGGCTCGGAGGTGCGACGTTGAAGGCATCTGCTCCCACCTCCGAGCAGTTCGGGGTTCAGGGGCCTCACGCCGCTGCCTCCGGAGGCGGGCGCAGCGAGGGGCAGGGGGCAGGGCTCGGCGGCGGCAGGCCGGGAAGACACCCCGACGCCCTTACCAGCGAGTAGAAGGCGGAGGCCTCGGAGCCGTAGGTCACGTAGTTGCCGTAGCCCTGCGAGCCCCCGTAGGGCCCCCCGTACACGCTCAGCGCCGCGGCCGAGTTGAGCTCGTGGCGCGCCGTGGCCAGCAGCCGGCTCTCGTAGACCGGGCAGTAGACCGGCGCCTGAGCCGAGGCGGCGGGCCCGGAGTCCGCCAGCGTGCGGCCCCCTGACTCGCAGCACGTGCTGAGGGAGTTGGTGGCCATCAGGAACTGCGGAGAGAGGGGCCGCGAGGAAGGGCGGGCCGCCCGGGAGGGCCTGCCCCGTAGCTTCGGGGGTCTACCGCCATCCGTGCGAGCGCACAGCCCGGCCCCCTCCAGCCCCCGGGGAGCGGGGAGCCCAGCCAGTCCCGGCCGGGAGCGGTCACACCTTCCCCAGGGGGTTTCCGAGGCCTTGCAAACCCTCCCGCGCCGAGTCTCTCCCGGGAGCCCAGGATCCCCTGAGGGGCGGCCTCAGCGCCCTGGAGCCTCTAGAGGCAGAACTAAGCGGGAACCGGAGGCCCCCGCCCGACGGCATTTCTCACCACCCCTGCCCTTCCCGGGGCTCGTGTCACAGGCCCTGCTTGCTGGGAAGCGACATCAGATCGGCCGACTGCCCGGCCCACTAGCCAGTGTGTCCAGCCCCGCGGGGCCTCCTTACCTGGGGTGCCGAGGAGTAGGGGTATCCAAACTGTGGGTAGGACATGGCGAGCGCGGGGAGGGCGAGACGGCGGGGTCCTGTGCGCGGGGACCGGTGTGGCCCGGCCACTGCTCCGGAGCCGCCGGCTGCTGGGCACTGGGGGAAGCGAGGCGGGAGCGTGGGTTAATGCATCCACTCGCTCTGCAAACTTTTCTAAGCAGGTAGGACAGTGAGCCTCGGCGGCCGCCGCGACCCTTTTAGCTTCGCAATCCGGAGCCTCGAGGGGGCTCTGGGACCGACCGGCCTCGCAGCGGCGACACAAATACATATTTTGCAAAAAAGGGAAGAAAAAAAAAAAAAGAAAAACCAGTCTCGCGAACCCGTCAAGTCAGATGTGCGCGGTTTTAAGCGGCCGCGGCTCTGACGTCAGCCCGTGCCGCAGCCCGGCCTGGCCGCGGACGCGCCGGTCACTCGGCCTCGGCCTGGCCGGGCGGGGCGCGCGGAGGGGCCGACGCGCTTTCACAAATGAATTCCGTCCGAGGAGTCAAGATCGCCCCGACGCACTGCGTTTCTCCTTAGTCACCGAGGACGGGAGGCACTTTTAATTAGAAATTAATTAATGAGCAGCTGCTCCTTCCCGCCTCACTGTAATCATTAGTCTCAATTACAAATGAGACGTATGAGGGACACACGAGTGCGTCTTCATGAAGATGTAATCAACAGTTAAAATGGGCCCCGCGCGGGCGCGGGCGGCCAGCGGACCTCGGCTCTCCGCGCCCCTGCAGGTGGCGGGAAGGCGGCTCCGCCCGCGGGACCCGCGGAGGCGGCGGGGGCGCAGGCCCGACTATTGTTTCACCCGGAGCCCGCGTCGCCTCGCGCCAGTTCGAACCCCACTCCGGAATGGAGTTCCGGAACCAGGTGCATCGACCAGCGTCCGCATCTGGAGGTCAAAAGTGCCCTCAGGTGTGTGGGGCCTGGGGCCGTCCCCAGAGCCCGCCACTCAAGGGCTCGGCAGCCCAAGGGCTGCGGGGCTGGCCACTCTCGGCCGGAGAGTCCCCTTGGAACGCCCCCCCGCCCCCGCCCCCGCCCCCGCGGGGTCCCGCTCCGCGCGAGGCCCTTTCTTTCCTGCCCCACCGCCTCCCGTGGGCCGCACTCCCTCAGCCTCCCCTGCCCCTCGCGGCTAAACCCGGGACTGCCAGACGTCCCTGAGCAGTCTGAGGAGCGGGTTTCCCGGCTCAGCTCTGGGACCCCGCCCGCGGTGCCCGCTCCTTGCAGGGACCTTCGGGGCCAGGCGCGAGGGAGGGGGCGCTGGGCGTCAGGCAGAGGCGCCCTTCCCAGCCTGTTTTGCACAGCTCCTTGACAGAGGCGCACGGAGAGGTCTGGGGAGGGTGCCAAGTGCCCACCCCAGGACTTCCACGGCCAGTTCTGGCCCTGGGACCTTGCCCTCGTCCAAAGCAGGAGCCAGCGCGCAGGCGGCAGAGGGGCGCGGGGGCCACCCTGAACTAGCTCCGGGCCTTGCGCGCCGCCGCCCGCCGGGGCCCGGGCTCGCCCCCGCTGCTCTCCGCCCTCTCGGCCCCGAAGCCGGCCAGGAGGGAGCCGCGCGCGGCGGCGCTGTGCAGACTTGCTGGGATAGATTCCTGGGTTCAGACCTGCGAAGCGCCCCAGGGTCACCCTCTAATTAATGATGACGTTCTCGCCCTCTCCCCAGCTGCAAGCCTGCCTCCCAGAAACGAAATCTGCCCGTTCTGACAGCTCGGTTGAAGGTGATTGATGACTATCTGGAGACCACAGTACGCATCATATAATATCTGCTGCGTAATTGCTTTAATTTACAGATGAAAATACCAGTTCTCCGATCGCGTTGGACCGCAGCCGGCCATATCCGAGCTGCTTGCAAAGGAAAAATATCAGAAATAATGAATAGCCGCTCCATGCAAATTATTCAGACAGTTTAGCGTCTGTAGCCAGGAGAGATATATAAAGAACACGAGTCAAATGACATTAATAATTGTTTTTGAATTCTGTATTGATTTCGTAGCAGCCGTGTTTATTTCTTTCTCACCTGAATTGCTAATATCACCTTCCTGTAAATAATAAGAAACTAGCCACCGGGGCTTCTCGGCAGGAAGGACTCTCAATCTCTCTGCCTCCTCCGCCCCTCCCCACCCCCATCGCCCCTCCTCCCAACTCCTCCAGTTTTCTGGCTCCTGCTGAGGCTTTTGCTGAACGTCCTCTTACTTTCCATGATTTATTGTTTACAAACAACTCGCTCTCTCCGGTTATGCGGCCAGCTGGAGGGAGGGGGTGGCTGCGGGCTCAGGGGGCAGGTATCCCGTGGCAAGGATGGCGGTTAGCATCCTCTCCTCGCCCCGTTTTGCGGCCGGGCCTGCCATCCTGAGCGCTCAGCTGGTTGGGGAGGAAGCCGCCACCCGGTCCCAGCGGCCAGTGCCTGGGGACTCCGGCTGGCAGTTCTCATCACACTCAGGCTTGACAGCCACCGTTCCTTCCCCGAGACGCGGCCACGGCTCGCAGGAAGCGGCGCCCCTGAACACGAGACCATTTGTCTTCCGAGCTACGTGCCCCCCCTGGGAGCCAGCGGGCACAGCCTCCATGGGGGTTTCTGGGGGAGCGATTTCAGGGGGCTCCTTTGACCATCGCTGTACTGTTTTCCTTTCCAGCCTGCGTGTAAACACACGCTCCCTGCCGCACCGGCCTGCTGGGTTCTCACCGCCCAGCCAGACCCTCTCTCCCTGATCCTGAAATCCAGTTCACTTTCCCAGGCCCTGACCACCATATTCCGCTTCCTGTCCTGGCCAGGCCAGCTGCACAGGGCCCCGGGCCGGCCACCCTGCTTGGGGAAGGTTAGGGCTGCCCGAGGAGCCCGGCGACCTCGCAGATGCTCACCCGGGCCCGTGATTCAATCCTGGATACAGGATCGGCGCTGTCGGTTTCCAGACCAGCGCACACCCCAACATCCCGCTGACAATCTGCTCCAACTGGGGTACTTTCTGGGCCATTTTTGTCCATAGATAACCCCGGAATAACTTATCAAATGTCCTTTACTGAAAGGCCAAGCCTTGAGCGGAGGCACCGGGTTCCCCCAAGGGCACAACAGGAGCGTCAGCTAAATGCACCTGCATAGACGCGGAGCGCTCAGCCCATGTCCCTGGAGGGACCCTGGAGGGAATCCCGGTTCTCAACACACCCGTGAGGAGGACCCGCCGGAAACGCACAGTCCCCCGCCGACAGGGCAGCAGCTGGGCTTGGGTGAGGTGTCCCCACTGGCCTGCTGGGTTCGAGAAGAGCCGAGGGTGAGGGGGCCTGAGGACAGTCAGGCCCAAATGTTAGAGGCCTGCGGGTCGCTCCTCCTGCCCCGGGACGTTGCGGGTCGTCGGAACCTCGGAGGGCCTTCGGGGAGTTAGGCCGCGCCCTGACCTTCTCCCGCTCCGGGTGGGACTTCGCTCCAGCCACAGCTGAGCCTGGCACTGCCAGTTCCCGGAATCTTCCCCGAGGCCACCCCAGTCACCCCTCACAGAGCAGAGGGGGCGGGGGTGGGGGTGGGGGTGCCCCTCCAGGCCAGCGAAGTTGACCCCAGGCAGAAGGCGGAGGCGCGAGTGCGCGGCTCCGGGCAGGGGCCTCCTTTTCTGAAGCGTAGGGCTGAGCGCTTGAGGCGCCTGTGCCCGCCCACTGCTCGCGGACACCCGGGCGGGGTGAGGGGCTAAGGGGCGCTCTGGATGTTGGTGGCGCCGCACTCGCGAACCCTGTGGTTGGCAGGTCACTTCTCAGCCAGTTCTCTGGGGTCTTCCGCGAAGCCAGTGGGGCGAGCTGCAGGCGCACGCTTTGAATCCTCCCGGATACGCCCTGCATTCCGGCCGGCTCCCTCCGGCTCCTTCGCTGCGCCCCCGCCGCGCTCCCACAGGGCGCCACACCAGCCAGGAAGGCGAGCAGTCCGGGGGTCCCGGAGCAGGCCCCGTTGGCCCGCGCTGGACCCCGCGGTGTCCCCCCGCACCCCGTTTTCCGAAACTTGCAGCAAACGCGGCGGCCTCCAGAGACCCCCACCCGCAAGCAGCAAACTTTGTGCCCTCTAGCGAAGGAGCGATCCTCGCAAAGTTTGTGCGGCGGAGCCCACTCCCTACCTGCGCTGGGGACGCGCCGCCCGCGCCGCTCGGGCGCCGGGCCCGCCGGGAGCAGCGCGCAGCGCGCAGCCTGGGACGCACCGGGGAGTCGCCACCGCCGCCGCCGCCCGCGCCCCTCGGCGGCCGCGCGGCGCCTCCGCCTCCCCGTTAGGGGGGAGGGGTCTCGGAGCCCCGGGGCGGGGGCGGGCGCGGGGACCTCGCCTACCTGCGGTGGCGCTGGGCCACTACCGGCCGCCCGCGAGGCTCTGCGCGGCCGCTCGGTGCGCGCGCTCCGGCGGGGAACAGGCGACAACTAATGGAGACATTTCCAGGCGCAGCACCTGGCGAGCCGAGCGCGCCGGCGTCCCCAGGCGCCGCGGTCGTCAGCCGAGCCCGCACCGGCGTGACGTGGGCGAGCGAGCGCGCTGCTCCCACCCGGCCGCCCATTAACGCTTTCCCCCGCGGGCGCCGCGCACTTGCCAACTTTCCCCTCCACCCCGGCCTGCGCGCAGGGTACACGGGCCGCAGGAGCAGGGATGAGGGGCTCCCTGAGGAGGGGGTGGCAGGGGCACGGGGCTCAGAGGAGACACTGAGAAGACAGCGGGAAGGCACGCCTCGATTTGGACCAAAGCTGGGCCAACTATACTGCTCCGGGGGGTCTCAGGCTCCTCAGGGGCCCTCCCCGTGCCCTGGTGGTCCAGCCTGGGGCCTCCTGGGCTGCAGGAGCCAGCCCTGCCCTCTGACAGCCGCTCCTTCTCCGCTGCAGTTCCCCAGAGTCCCCCCTTGACGGTGGTATCACTGCCCTGGAGGTCAGATCCAGGGCCCCGCGCCCCCGGTCTCAGGGTCTTCCCGTTCTGCCCTAGCGCCGCCACAATCAACCCTTGGGCACTAAGGGAGTCCAGCTTCTCTTTGGGTGCCCATACGGGCTTCCGCCCACTGGGCTCTTGGGGTGGCAGGCCCTGCGGTTCAGGAGAGCGTTGGTATGTTGTTACCCAGGTTAAGGGAAACTCCCCGGGGACCAGGAGGCCTGCGGCCTGCCCAGGACTGGGCCGCCTGACACGGCGACTTTCCAGGACTGCCCAGAACCCGGCTGGGCTGGACTCTGGACCTGGGAACACACCTCCACACCGACAGCCTGAGGCCGGGAGGGAGGGCAGTGTCCTGGGTCCCAGGTCCAGGCCGCCCTGACCCTGACGCAGCCAGCCCAGAACCCATCGCCCTGGTCTCCCCCACCCCCTCATTTGACTTCAAAGAACTGTGAACTTTCTTCTGAAGATTTGTGGTGGTGCAATGACATTTGAGGTTTGTTGTCATGGATAATGTCTGAAAAAGCTATTTGCTGTTTTTTTTTCCCATTTTCCTCCAAGCTCTCTGCAGTGACTGTACAGGCAGTGAGTGCCCGCTACTTCACCAACAACAGCCTGGCGTGGAGTTTGCCTCCAGGCCTCACCCACCCCTCCTGGTTTTCCATGGAGCAGAGCCAGGAAGGAAGAGGACTGGCTGCCCCCATCAGAGCCCAGAGCTTCCCCTGGCTTCTTTGGGAAGGACAGAGGCTGGGTCTCTGGAAACACAAAGGTGGGCTTCCTCTGGGCTACAGACCTACCCGGAGGTGTAGCCCACGGGACAACTCCCTGGGCTGACAGGGATTCTGGGAGGGGGTGGCGTCCGGGGGTGGGGGCCTCATTTGATTCCTCCTGGAAGGGGGAGGAAGAAAGGCCCCTCGGCTCCCTGGGGTGGGAGGGCCAGCTTCGGGCCTGCTCCCCACTTTCCCCGTCCCCCCTTCAGGCCGTGCAGGATGCTGCTGGCAGGACCCCGGGGCCAACAGCGATGAGCTTGTCCCCTCTCCCTGCAGCGCTCACCTGGAACTTAGATTCTTTTCATAGCTGAAGATAAGCGAGGCGATTTGTGCTTACAGCCTCGATTGGGAGATAAACTAGCCGCGCCTTTGCTCAGGCCTCTCAACAACAGCAAACCGCTGAGAAGCACCGAGGCTGGGGAGGCCCAGGGCGACCTGCAGCCGGAAAGGCTCCCCATCCTCCAGGATGTCCATGACAGGGCAACACCCGGTGCCCTCAGCTCCCCTGCTCTCCCCCAGGAAGGAGGCCTCTCCTTCACCGACACCCCGAAGCTGGTCCTCAGCATCCTGGCATCTAGACGCTGCCAGGCCTGCCCTTGTCCCGGACCCCTGGCCGTGTGACCGAGGCATCCTCTGCCCCTCTGCCCTTGACCTCTGGGGCTGGGGACTGCCCCAGCCCTCCCGCTGCATTGCCAGGCCCTCCTAGGCTGCCGTTCTGAGGAAGTGATGGAAATACCCCAGGTGCTGGCCGGGGGGCCTGGCAGGGCACGTCCCTCTTTGGCAGCAGAGTGAGTGATTAAAGCAAAAAGCCAGTCTGCAGCTGCGGCCACCTCCACAGGACAGCAGTCGTCCTGGGCAGACCCTGTGCTGTGACAAGGCCAATGGTGCCCCCCCATCCCCCCACCTCTGGTCAGTACTTGTTCCCTGTTGGATCCATGTTCTTTAAGTCCCGCTTTTGTTTTCCTGCTGGCAGAGCCGCTGAGTGAAAAAAAGTCTGGAAAAGAAGTCTCCGTGCCCCAGGGCTTGGCCAGGCCGCCGCGCGCTCCCCCTGGCCTGCATGCTGCTGCAACACGCACAGGCATCTGGTGGCCGCGGCGGCTGTGCTGGGCTGACCGGGCCGGCTCTGACGCTGCCTCGGTGCCCGCCACGGCCACGGGCCCGCGGCTGCATTGTCCCCCACCCTGGGGACTCGGGATGGGCAAGAGGGTCTCACTCAGGTCAAGGAGGAAGCCGTGGGACTGGCCCTGAGTGCAGACAGCTTTAGGACCAGTGGCACTGGTGTCCCAAAGATGCCCTCGTCCTTGGGAGGACTCCTTGGCCTGACTAAGCAGCGGAGCAGTGTCCGCGGCCCAGATCCAAGGTCCATGGAGTGCAGACCAGTCCTTTCCCTGGGCCGCTGGCTTTCGTGTGGTCCCCGGCCTCTCAGCACAGCTGGCCCTCAGGCTGCAGGGCGTCTTCCTCTCTCCCCTCCCCCCTTCTTAGTGCCAAACACGGGATTGGGGAGAGCAGAGTGTCTGAGTGGTTTCTTTTTCAAAGCAGAGCGGTGCCTGGGTAGAGACAGCGACGACATGTGGCCTGGCCACAGGTCAGAGGTGCTTGTGGTTGCTGTAGAGGGTGACCTCTAGTGCGCTGGCAGGGGTCCTCGCGCCCCTGTCTCATTTTCCTTTCCTGCTGTTCTGTCCTCATGAGTTTGGAAGGAGGCGGAGCCAGCAAAGGTTAGAAACTTTTTTCTTTCTCCTTAGTTCAGGAATATGGCGTCGTGTCTATGAGTATAA